GACAGTGGTGTCATGGTCAGGTGAGTGCTGGTCTTCCAATATTTTATGTAAATTAAAGCAGAAATAATATTTGAAGATAATGTGTCAAACTTGTGTTTTGTAGCTCTTCACTGGAATTCTTAACAGGAAACCCAAAGTGATATAAGTGATGGAGATCATCATTAGGTTGAAAAATTAAAATAAACCTACCACAGAGAGAGCAACAACTTCAGAAGTGGCCAAATCAACTATCTGGTTCAGTCTCGACAAGAATGAATTCACTGACCAGCTCAGCAGTGCCAAAAGATCTGAAAGATGACAGAAGACAACTGAAGTGGATGATGACAGATTATTTCCTTTGTTAAGAAAAACAATTTTACATCAACTTTGTTGATCTGACTGCATGCTTTCCACAGTCTAAAACATTACAAAGAGACAAGCATCCTACTATGGGAAGTAAAACCTTAGTACAATACAAAGCGTGTTTAGAGAGAGCAGACTTTAGACTCATGTGTGTCTGCTGACCACAACTGCTTCCTTATTAAACCTGAGGACCTTCCACTCCCACACACTTCCCCAACAGGCCAGAAACCATCTGCAGGCTAAATTTAGGCCTGCATATTAAGGGAGCTCCTCTTAAGGGAGCTGTGTGAGGTTAGAAGGTGTGTGGAGCTTTCCAGGATCTTTCTAAGTTTAGATTCTTCCGTTAAAGTCACGGTAATGAACAAGAACAGTGTATCATGAGTGTAACTTACATGCTTTAAGATCAAAACATCGATGGAAATTATATTGCTGTAATGCACATTAGGCTATGGGATGTAGCTTACAGTAAGTTTCTTATGTAATAGAAAGTATATCTCATATATTACACGAGCATCTTATCTGGTTTTGAAAATTTAAAGCTGAAAAGAAAAAAGAAGTTATAACCAATTTAACATGAGTGATGGCGATAATTAGTGATGATAAGGGGAAAAGCTCATTTTCGCAAGGTGTAATAAATGATAGATTTCTTGCTGTCTGGGGCAAAGAAGTGTGTCAGACTTTTTAGATAATAGATTTTTTTCTATCGACTTTGATATCTGATTCCTTTTATAAGGGCACGAGGAGAGGAATATATATATATATATATATATATATATATATATATATATATATATATATATATATATATATATATATATCAGTTTCCTATAATGTTGGAGCCTGGCTATGATTGGAGGCTTTAGGACTCTTTCTATGAAGTCCTTGGTATAATCTACCAATTATACAACACCTGAGTCTGAAACACCTCCAGAAACTACATACACAGACACTTGTGAAAACACTACAGGCAGCTACATAGAACTAATTAAAAAATAAACATTGAAGGTGATTAGTTTTCTTTGTCACGTAAAAAGGATAAAAGTCATTTTAATATAAAGCATGACGGATCTGGGGAAAACAGTGTTTTCTTACTTGGACATGGAATACTTTCCAGAAAGATCCGTTGATTTTCATAACCATAAATCCATCCAGCCGTTCATTTTCTGAACAGCCTCTCCATTCGGGGTCACGGGGGTAGGTCTGCAGCCTGTCTCTGTCGTCAAAGGGCGAATGGCAGGGTTCACCATTTACAGGTCGCTAATCTATTACAGAGCCAACACAGAGGGACAGACAGTTTAGCATTACCAATTAAACTAGCATGCATGCACCTCGATTGTGGGAGGAAGGTATAGTAGCCGGAGAGAATCCACACAAGGTCCAGGTAAAACCTGAACCCTCCACCCAGAAAAGCCTCAGCCAAGAATCCTCTAGCTGTTTGGTGACCGTGCCAACCACTGCACCATAATGCCACGATTTCAAATAGACCTAACCTTAGATATGTTTTGCTTATATCTATTAGTGAATTTAAAGGCATCATAATCAGTGTGGTGATTGTTTTTGTCAGGGGTATTTGTGCATTACTAGTGCATCTAAATAAGTTCTTTTTTCCTAATTTATTTCTAAAAGATAAACTTTAATATGTTTTATATTTATTGCATGTAAATGTAAACATTTCAACCTTTTTTGCTTTAAATTTAATTTGATTATTATGGTTTGTAGCTCAAGATATTTAGCTATATTTCTTAAGATAGATCAAAAAAGGATTTAGAATAGAACTTCCGGAAAGCATGCTCATTTTATATGCTCAATACTTGATTATGACCTCTTTGATGAAGTGCTGCATCAATGAGGCGTAGCGTGGAGGGGATCAGGTTCCAGCACTGCTGAGGTGTTGGTCTGATAGCAGCCTTGAGATCCTCTGTTTTTCTGGGCTGGGTGATTCTCATCATCGGTACTCACAGTACTCAACAGAAATCATAGATTCTCTGTGGGATTCAGGTCAGAAAAGTTGGCTGCCCAATCAGACATGCCACACCATTTATTACTAGTTTTGGCACTGTGGGCAGGTGCTAAGTCCAGTTGGAAAAGGAAATCATCATCTCCATAAATGTTGTCAGCAGATGGAAGCAAGAAGTGGTCTGAAAGCTCTTGGTAGAGGGCTGTGTTGACTTTGGACTTGATAAAACACAGCTGACCAACCATCACCACCACCAGCAGGTGACACGGCACCCCTAATCATCACAGATTGCAGAAATGTCACACTGGACTTAAAACACCTTGGATTCTGTCCCAGTCTTCCTCCAGACTCTAAATTGTGTTTAAAACTTACTTTCATCTGAAACCTTTGGACCACTGGGCAGCAGTCCAGTTCTTTCTCTCCTCACCAGGGTCAGATGCTGCTGCTGATGTCACTGGTTCAGCCATGGCCTGATATTAGGAATGCAATATTAGATATCCTTTCCTGCAGATGTCTGTGCGTGGTAGCGCTTGATGCACTGACAACAGCCTCAGTCCACTCCTTGTAAAGCCCAAGCTCTTCAGTTGACTTGTCCTGACAATTCTCTCTGGGCTGCGATCATCTCTGTTACTATCACACTTTTCCCTTCCAGGCAACCTTCTATTATTACGCTTCAATACATCACACTGCAAACAGCTAGCCTCTTCAGCACTGACCTTCTGTGGCCTAACCTCTTTGTGGAGGTTGTTGTGGATTTTCATCTTGACAACTGTCAATCAGCAGTCTTCCCTATGATTGTGGTTGTGTCTAATAAACTAAACTGAAAGACACAAAGCAAAACTCCAGTGTCACCTCTCATTTCTTTAAATTTAAGATCTTTTATATTTTTATATTATATTAAGAAAATGGGAAATAGGTGCTGGGATTTATTGAAACATGTACAAACAAACATGGAAATACAGCATTTAAGACAAAAACGGAGGTTGTACAATTCTAATGAGCTTGAACATCAATAATTAGTATGACCACATTTATTCTTCAACACAGCCTAAACTCTGTCAAGATGATCCCGCCTCCATCATGTTTTACAGATGATTGTAGATACTGTTTTATCTCTACCTGACTTCCTTTGTACATATTGATGACAATTTGAACCAAAACATTTAAATTTGGATTCTTATTTTCAGATCAGTTCTCATGTGATCTGGCATATAACAGCATTTTCTCCCCTTTCCCCTCATTGAGAATGGCTTCTTGACAGCCATTCTTGAAATGAGACCATTTCTGAGCGGGCTTCAGTGAACTGGAACAGCTGAATGAACAGCTGCACCCCAGAAGGGGTGTCTGTAGCTCAAGAGGTAGAGCAGGACACCTACTAACTGGAAGGGTTGTGGTCCAGTCCTTGGCTGCTCCAGTCTGCATGCCCAAGTATCCTTGGGGAAGATACTGAACCTCAAGTTGCTCTCTGATATATTACTTATATAAAAGTATCAATGTGTGTAATTGTTAGATGGAAAGTCAGAAGTGTTAAGGAAAAAAGGACGTGTCAATGAGTGCATGTTGTGTAAAGCACTAAGTGCTAGAGCAGAAAAGTGCTGTACAAGAATCATTGACTGGAAGACTACATTTACCATCTCTGAGGTGCTGTGTCTTTGCTAATTGTTTTTTTTTTTTTTAAGCACACTACTTTCAGACACTCTGATGCATTTTTTAGGCCTGTTACTTCTTTTGTTCTCGACATGTCCAGTTTCCTCAATATTTTAGGAAGGCATTGCACACCATGCTAAGATATGCCAAGTTTTCTGCACATAGCACTTTGGGATTCACCTTGTTGGTGCAAAAATGATAACAAAATTTGACACAGTTTATCTCTGGCATTTTCCATAGATTCAACTAAAGAAATTTGAACAAACGATTTTTGTGACAAGCTGCTAGCAACAAAATGCCTAAAAATGCCATTTAAAATTGTTTATTTGCTAAGTCATCTGTTATGTGTAAACAACACCGGTTCTTCCCTTTGGTAAGGTACTTTTTAATGCTTGGTTCATAGGTCAGGGTCAAGCGACTCAACAAAGAAACAAAAAACAAAAAAATATTCTTCTTAAAATTATGCTTGTTTAAAGTTTGGAAGACCTCTAGAAAACCCAAAGAACTGTTATTTAAAATCAGCTTTTTGGAAGTAAAATACAAAGAAAGGTGAAAAGTGACTCAAAACCTTTGCACACTACTTTTTGCTCAAAACCATGATGAAATATTCTAAAAATCTGAGATACTGAATTTCTGAGTTTCACCAGCCATAATATTTCAAATTAAAACAGCAAAAACTTTAAAATACTCTGCTTTATATGTATTAAATATAGACTTTTTTTTAAATAAAAATGTGAAGCAAAACAACTTTTTTCACGACATTCTACATTTGTGAGATGCACTAGGAGATTTGATGTTGTGTATCTTGCATAAGTTGTATTTTGTTGCATTTATAATATACTAAATTTGTGCTGCTACTATACCTCGAATACGTCTCTCTTCTAGAAGAACTTTGATTTGAGCGCAACGTCCTGGTGAAATAAAGGTAAACAAACATAATTTAAACGCGCACACAAACACTAATAAAACAAAATCCCAGTTGGTTTTGCAAAGATAAACAGATAGCATAGATAGCAGCGAGAGCAACAGTGCTTCCTTCTAACGACGTTTTAAAACCACGTGACCTGTGTTTACATCCTCTTCTCAGCTGTTTCTTTCTTCTTCCACTTCGACACAACTGCTTGCTGTTGCTACTTTATCTCTCCAACCAACCAGCTGGTTAGTTAGCGCAGTAAACTAGTACTTAACCAATTGAAGAAGCTGCTGGTGTGTGAAAGTAGCTGTCACTGACCGTCGCACTGAACAGCACTTTACGAGGAATGAGTAAATGCGACACGGCATTGTGAGTATTTCTTATTTGGATTTCGTTATTTAGCCAGCGGCTGTTTGTGTAAGAGTTACACGCTTTGTGTTGTCGTTGGCAGCTGTATTAGCTTTTCGTGGTGTGACACTGTTAAGTAGCTGCGCTGTGTGTTTGCTAACTGTGTAACGGCAGGATAAAGAGGCGAGCTTACCTAACCTGCTTTGTCTGTTTTTAGTGATGGCGCACTCAGGCCCACAAAAAGCTAACGTTAGCCCGCTTTAACTGCAACTCGCATAGCGTTGTGTTGCACTGAATGATAACTCAAACCCTCAGGTTCTACCTGGAACACATAATTTCACATCTAAATTCGTATTCTGCTTTATTTCTATGTTGAGGAGCGCACACGCTAAAGCTGTGAGTGGGCCTGGGGTGACTTTTCTAACAGAAGTGCGAGCTTTCTCGGGCGAAATTATACTCCGAAAGATCTGATTTATGATCGTTTTTTTTTCCTGTGAGAATATTTCTGTTATGCTACACGAGTCTGATATTTTATCCTCTCCTTACCAAACCGGTTTAGCTAGTTGCTGTTAAAGACTGGGGTTAATCGCACTGCAGAGAGCTGGCCAGCAACTGCGTTTTGGTCGACAAGTGGGAACAAAAGCTGCATGAAAGCCTCAAACACACCACAGCCTCTCGCTGTTTGACAGCTGCTTTAATAAGTGCTTGGCGTATGTTTCTCACAGGTGCGGACGGCTTTGATTGAGGGTGAGCCGTGATTAATAACGCTTGACAGGGTTTCATGAAAACGCCGTTGTTGTTGTTTTGCCCCATCGTCACACGCAGTGCGAAGAAAGTCTGACTGGCCGCTGATTGGCTGACGAGCTGCGGTCTGTGTGGCAACCGCGAACACGTGACCAGGTTGCGCGCGGATTGGCTTCACCAGGTGTCAGTTGTGGTAATTTGGGGAACATCTGTGTACACCATTGCATGTAAAAACCGAGAGACCAGAAAACGGCGCAAACCTGGGGACTGCATTCCTCCCATAAACAGCACCTCGCTGGGGAGGTGTCACTGATCATATCTTAGTCCATTCAACAGGCTAAAAAAACCAAATATATGTAGGTTGTGATACCTATATAGATATACAAGCACCACAACTTAAAAACTAAAGTATTTTTTTCTGAATTCTGATGAGTATGACTGCAACTATCTTATCAAATAACCTCATGATTATTAACTTAATACTTATATGAGCAAGGGACCAGAAAATGGAAACCTTTAGGCTAAGCCCTTGCCATAAACCTCATCTTATTTCATCGGCGTAACTTTGTGCTGAACATTGGGGGGTCAAGATCTCTGTCTAAATAAATAAATAAATCTGGGTAAATTCCCAGATGATTAAACATGCATAAATAGTCTGTTGATTTTCTTCACTCATTTCAGTTATTACCAGCAAAATAATTGCAAGATAATTCATAATTTTATTGGGAGGGGGTTATATTGGTTGGGTCTGATTATTGGGGGGAGGGGGGGGTCATAACCCCCCTGGAAATTACGCCCCTGTCTTATTTTAAAGTTGTGGTCAGAAGTTTGCATACAGGTGCGACTGTTAAAAATAATTTGGGGCTTTTAGTGATTTCTTTCAACTGTTCTTTTTCCAGGATGGAGCGATTGCACAGCGCACATGTAACAACTTTAAAAAAAACACAAATTGGTTTACATTTGTTTTTAATTTTCTCTTATCCATAAGGTCAGAAGTATACACACAGCTTAAATATAAATACACTATAACATACCCTCGATATAGTTGTTTTGGTCCGCAACGAAGTGCGATTACTGAGTTCACACCTGCACCAAGGATGAAAATGTACCAGTGTTGCTGCGATGAGAGGAAATAGGTTAGGGTTTTCAGGAACAACCCAGGATCCACCAACGATGCAGCCTGTCACAAACTGGAAACTGCTCAAACCCGAGTGTCACTGTCCACAGTGAAATGAGTTTTACATCATCAATGGACGGAGAGGGTGCAGACCAAGAAAGAAGCCCCTACTCTAAAATCAACACCTTCAAGCTTGACTGAAATTTGCAGCTGCCCACATCGACAAGGCAAATGCTTGGAGAAAAGTTTTATGGTCAGATAAAACAAAGATTCAAGTATTTGATCACCACGACAAGAGGCATGTTTGGAGAAGTAAAAGTGACGCTTTCAAACCTAAGAACACTGTAGCAACTGTCAAGCACGGTGGTGGTAACATCATGTTCTGCGGTTGTCTTGCTGCCAGTGGTACTTGTACATTGCACAAGGTAGATGGAATAATGAAGGACTACAAAAGTTTGAACTTCACCTTAACTGTACCAGCAGGCCATCGCTCAGTATCTGCATTTGCGCTTGAAGCCATTTATAATTCTTAACTTGTTTGATGTGCTGCTTACCACAACAAGCACAAGCATAAACTTTGGTCTTTTAACTGTATTTTCATAAGTTTTACAGCTTTTCCTACTAATGAAAACCTCCCTAATGGCCATTAATGCTACAGAAAGTAATTAAACAATAAACCTGTTCCACTCCAATGCCCCTGGTACCAGAGGCGAGAGGGAGAACTCTGGTTTAACTCGATGTACCGCCAGATCTGTTACTTGAATATAGACATGGGTGGTATCCACTGAAACATCAGGATCTCAAAGCCCACAAAACCACTCTGACTAAAATTCACTGAACTAGCAGCAAAAGAAGACCGAAACTACGCTTCACGTTTAAAAACAAACAACAAACAAACAAAAAAAAACCCCCACTGACTATAGTGATTTTTCTGTTACTTTTGCTTTCACCACGATAAAATCGTACTTCCTGCACTGCTTTCTCTCTGTGTACTTTGAGACCTGTAGTTTCCCATTTAAAAAATCTATTTGCTGCATTATTTGCTTTCTTATTTCGGACCAATCTACCATTGCTATAGAAATCTTTTATAACGACTAGTTTAAAAAAAACCACAAAAGAAAACTGGACAGTCTGAGCAATGAGCTACCTGCTTAAGATCAAAGTGGGCATGATGTGGCCCGCGGTGGAAAATGAGTTGGACACAGTTAGATGTTCCAACAGGACAATGATCCCAAACACACATCAGAACTGGTCTTCAGTAAAATGAAATTAATAAAGCAGGCTAACATTAATATTCTGGAATAGTTTTCCTAAAGCCCTAACCTCAACCTTATTAAAAATGTGTTCACTATGCTTAAAAGCTGGGTGCGCACCAGAAAACCAATCGATTTTAATGGACTCCACCAATTCTGCCAAGATGAGTGGTCAAATATTCAGCCAGAGTTATGCCTGAAGCTTGTTGATGGCTACCAAGGTCGAGGTGCAACTCGGTAAGAGACATTAAACTACTCAAATATTTACAAGGGTGTATTTATAACTTTGAGCCTGTATGCATGTATACTCAACAGTTCAAAGAAATCATTGGAAGCCCAACATTGCCATGACACTCATGGTGAGTGTATTTAAAAATCTGTCCACAAATGTAGCTATATGACAGGTGCACAATAGTCCACAGGACTAACACAGAGCCAAAGCAGACAAGAACGATGAGTAGACAATAGTTGGATGCCAGAAGCAGGGAGTTCTTATGTTTCTGGATACTAAAAATTAGGTCTGCAGACATGACCCATAACTATCCACGCATTTAGTGTGACTGTGAGATGCACCACCACGCACGCTTACACTGAAATTCATAAATGCCGTTGTGTTCCCTTTTTTTTTTTTTTTTTTTTTTTTTGTTGCCTGTCCCATTTGGTTCTTTAGCCATCAGAATTGTTGTCTGAAGACCAACAAGGATACCCAATGGATTTATTTTGCCAAATGGATCATCATGGCCTTGCCGTATTGGTCCATTTGATCGACCTTTGTTTTTATTATTTATTTTATTTTATTTTCAATTGTTACAGACATGAGTGAGGGATAGGAAAGGGAGAAAGAAAGAGGAAGGAAAAGAAAAACAGAAGGGGAGAGGGACAGTGGAAAAAGGGGAAAAAAATCTCCTGGATCACCTGTTGAGAGAGAAAGAATAGAAAACAAGCAAAAAAAACCAAAGCAACATACTAAACACAACACCATCGCATTAATCTAGCTAAGTGCAAACAGCAGTAAATACTAAATATTCAATGTTGTTGTGCAGCACGCAGGACAGACAGCGCACAATGTGCTTTGAAGTAGCAGCCAAGAAAGGTGTAATTTAAGTCTACGAACAGTGAACATCCGTGTGGATCAGCGCGCTTGTATTCAAATGGTTTCCACATGTAATGGTCTGCAAGAGGATGTAGAGAATCATAGCCATGTCCCCCAGGGCATGAAGCAGGTATGGAGGACATCCAGGCCCCAGACATCCAGAGGCCCCAGACATCCAGAGGCCCCAGAGTGCGAGAGCCCAAGGAGGACCACCGGAGGGGCATCCGTGCCACCCTCATGGGAAGGGCTGAGGATCCCCAGACGAGGGGTCACCCAGTAGCCACCGAGCAGAAGCTAGAGGGGGCTGCAGTGGCGTGCCCGCCGGCTATGGCGGCCACCAGCTGTGCCAGAGTGAACCGAGCCGGAGGCCCGAGGGCCCCCCGCGCCCCGGAAGAGGCCTGGCGCCTGTTGCTCGGCCACCAATGCACCGACCCCTGAGGGCATCAGTCAACGGCAGGGAGTGTGGGGAGGGGAGATAGCCCTCCACACTTTGGAGGTCCTGGGAGTTCCCAGAGAGGTGGAGTGTAAGACCCGACCTGACATATAGACACAGACAAACAGGCACACACAGACACAAACATGCATTCCCACCCTCGTGCACACATATACAAACACTCAGCACTCACCCAACGTAAGGACTGACATAAATGGACACGTACACACAATCACACTCCCCAAACATACTCTATATCCCGAGTCCAGGTACCCTCGCCCCCAGAGGGGGGAAACAGCACCCAGACCCAAGAGATGTTACCCTTCCCCCCGGGGTGGAGGCAAGCAGACCGTCCCAGGCTCTGCAGCAGCAGGGAGGCCA